GGACATGCCCCTTTGTGTGAAACATGTGTGACATGTCACCGCAATGCGGCTCGAGCGCAGGCGGTGACATATCACACACTTTTCACATCAGAGGGCCATGTCCAGCTGAGTGTACCCAGGGGACATGCCCCTCCTGTTCAGAACAGTCTATGATTTGTCACCCTTTTGTACTCGCGTACAATAGGGTGACATATCACACACTGTTGAGACCAGAGGGGAATGTCCACCAGTTGAATGAGGGTGTCACAGTTCAGACACCTTTCAAATGGACTTGCCCCTTTTGTGTGAAACGTGCGTGACATGTCACCGCCATGCGCTCGAGCGCATGGCGGTGACATATCACACACCAATCACAAGAGGAGTATGTCCAACCATAAAATGAAGGTGGAACATTTCTGGCCCCATTCAGCTGGAAGTAACCCCCTGGTATGAAAAGTGTTTGAGCAATGCTTTCCATTTTGATGACAAAACTTTGTAGCCAATTTGTATTATGTGCCCAGTTTAGTTGCAATTGAGTTTCAGATGAGTACCAGCTGGGTTTTGGATGATTTCTACCTGATTTCAAAAACCATTCACACTTGGTTATGTTAATGAAATACTATACATTAGACACAGTCACATGAAAAGTTACAGATAAGGCACTCCCTGGGGAGTGCCCCCAAAGCTCCCCTGGTGAGACTTGATTGTTTTGGATCCACTCTGGACAACCAACCTGGTTTCACCCTTTTTTTAGTTCCATTTTATTCATTAATAATCGTTCTTCCCATGTTCCACTCTTTCTTTCTCTCAGCACTCCCACTCCCCCAAAATCAATAACAAAGCTTTTGGAAAAAAACATTATATATTTTTTATTTTTCACAAATTTTGAAAGTTTATTTTTTGCTTTTCTTATTTCATATTCATTCTTTGGAACCTATTCTGTACCAATTCACCAAGTCTTGTGACTTGGAGCTTGTGCTTTGAAGCTGTAGAGCCCAAAACAAGCAGTCAAAAATAACGGTCTACCCACTGTACATCCACAAATCCTTTTCTTTTTTCTTTTCTTCTGAAAGATGAGGTTTTGCATTAATCTACAGATGATACAAGCAGAAGGCGTACATAGTAGGAAAAAAAAGAACCAATATGGTACATATATCTGCTCAACTACATCATTACCATTTTCCAAAAAAAAAAAAAAAGGATTTTGTTACAGGGGGGGGGGAATAAGAAGGCACTTGAGAGAGACGCTTGATGGCCAAGACAAGAGAGACCAACCTGCCAGAGCAGAAAAGGACCCAAAAATCAGGGGGGGGGGGGGCTTTGAAGAGCCATCCGACGATCTTAGATGTCCAAGAAGATTACAACAGCAGCAGGACGAAGAGGCTTGGTGAAAGAGATGGCACAAGAAAATAAACGGAGAAAGACAAGCTCCAAGGATCACGACTTTCTTTTCCTGGGGTTTGTCGTTTTCGGAGTCGGAGTCGGAGTCGGAGGGACAGGTTTAAAGAACTCGTTGATCGTCCGATTGCCGGCCCCCGAAGGCTGATGATGATTCGAGGCGGCGTTAGAGGCTCCGGTAGAAGGCAATGCTCCGCGGTCATGGTCCCACAAGTCGACTGCGAAATGGTGATCAAGATGGACATTCTTGAGCCGCTCGAAGCGGATCTGTCTCTCTTCTTGATCCAGCCCGTCGTCGACCGCCACGACGGCTTTGCATCGCGGACAGACATACTTCAAGAGTGCCGACTGCCCCGAGGCTGTTGGCCCAGGAAGCTCTTCTTGGGCCGCCTTCGGGGCCGAAATAGTCGTCGACGAAGAGGGGCCAAGAAACCCGTCCAAAGTGCCCCTCTTGGCTTTCTTGTTAGCCCGCAATCCTCGGGCTCCTATTGCGGATTGAGGCAATGAAGACACGGATCGAGACGGGCTTGCAGAGTTAAGCTGCTCAGTTGTTGGACGGGATGTGTCAGTGGAGGAGGAAGCTGTTGGTGGGATGAGGTTTGAGCGGGACCGAGGTTGAATTGATTGTGGGGCAAAGAAGCCCTGAATGGCTCTCTGACCAGCTTCGATACGCTCCAAGTTATGAAAGGCCAACGCCAAGCTAGTCACAGTGTCTAATCGGTAAGTTTGGTCAGTCTGTATGACCGCGAACTCTTGCAAGAGTTTCTTCCCAAGCGAGAAGATGTAATCGTCGGTCAATTGGGCCGTGAATGGGAAGGCAATCTGCTTGGTCAGCGAGTTCTGTAATCCATCCCTTTTGTGCATCACTATCAACTTGGGCTATATATATATATATTTCATGCCCCACCAATCAATCCAATCGTTAGTTTGGTAAAGCCTTCTGTTCTAAGACGGGAGTGCTGGGAAAGACGCGCGTACCCAGATTCCAGGAGTGGCTTCTCGAGCCTCGTTCAGTCGAGCGCATAGATCCCGAGCAAGGATTCGGAGCCAGTGGAGCTGTTGAAGAAATGATGACGATGATGAACAGAGTGAGAGTGTCTGAAGAAAGAGGAAAAAACGAGACGGACTGCTTGGCTCCAAGTGGTAATAGAGGGCCGAAAGTTTTTAGAAGACATCATACTCTTGACGAGTGTTTTAGTCTCGACCTCGGAGCGATCGACGCCGCGGACGGTTTCCCAGACCCACATCCCAGTCTGCTCGCCCAGGGAGGCCTGGAGCTGGCTGAGTGGGATCTTCCAGACCTCGCTCAACTGACACGACTTGTCGCAGGTCGAGGCCACTAGCTCGGAAACCGATTGGCCTAGCTTCCCTCCCAAGAAACGCAGCTTGGAGAGCTCGAACGGGCGCAGAAAGTCCCGGACTGCTCCCGCTCGAAGCACCGTTTGTGCATTCGGTTTCTTGTAAGCTGAGCATAGTTTCGCTAGCATCTGTTTAGTGGACAGGTTATGATCAAATTTTTAGTAGTTTTAAGCGAAAAAAAGAACAATCTTTGTGATTGACCTTATTGGTTGCTATTCCTGCAGAACAGGTATAACCCAATCGATCGAAAACTTGTTGGCGACAGCGGGCCATCAATTCGGCGCCGATGAGGAGCGCGATATCAGTCCAAGTATTAGTAGGATGATCGGAGTCGACATCCAGAGGGACGAGATTGCTCTGGGAGCTTCGAAGGAGATCTTCCAAGTCGAGCGGAGGGGGGTTAGGCAACGGATCATCCAGGCTGATCTCTGATGATGAGTCCTGTAGAGCTTCTAAGCTCGGGAAGGCGTATCGAGTGCAGAGGATCTCTCGAACTGGGATCGAGAAGTCGAGGAAGGCTTCATCGATCGAGGCCTTCTCGATCGTCGGACAACTTTCTGAGAATATCTTGAGGATCTTGACTGATTCTCTTCGATAAGGATCCAGGGAGACCTAGAAAATCCTTTTGTTAGCTTGAAAGAGTGGATTTTGGGACAGGTATGCTGCTGACCTTGTGGGTCTCCGCTCTGGGGTTTTCGTGGTACTTTGCTTCGGTTTCGGAATCGCCATGGGCATAGGTGGCCACATGAACGCAGATCAGTTCGGGACACAACTTGCGCGCTTGGTCGAATGGCAGATGCCGGGTGATGCCGAACTTTCGAGCGGGGTAATTGACGGCGATAACTGTGTAAGGAAGGAAGGGTTCAGGAATAGGATGATGTTGGCGAGTTGTTGAGTGGATGAGTGGTTGTATGTACGCACGTCCGCGCCATTGTTGGACGGCCAATGGTTTCTCGGGAGGGATCTTGAGTCTGACTTGTTCGAATTGAGCATAAGCAGCGTCCTACATATTTCATCCGACCAGGTAATTAGGAGAATGATCAGCATGAGGTTGATCCAGTCGAAGTCGAACGATACTGTAACACACCACATCACAATGGGCAATGACCCGCAAGGGATGTCTAAGTCAACCACGAACGGAACCGAGTCAATCAATCAGTACATACTCAAGATAATAAATATGTATGCGGTCGATAGGAAGTGGAGTGCATATGTACTCACTGAGCCCCAATCTTTTTGGCGTGAAGCTGTCGGTAAGTCAGCATGGCGAATGTGATGGCGGATGATGGTGATGATGGTGCAGGTGGTTGGTTGCTCGCAGTTTATATGTACATAAATCATGCCGCCGCCCAAAGTCGGGCATCATTGTAATCTCCTTGTAGCAATATCTTTCCCACAACCGCCTTCTTCTAAAAAATCCCTCTGCATAAAAGGTACATTATTATATCTGGCCGATTTGTCCGATTGGCTTCTCACTAGCTAGCTCATCCAAAAGTATATCAAGCTTTATTTGTCCTGGATTCCAGTCGTGAATACAAGTTACAACCCAAGACATATAGAAAGGTGATGCCCCCTTTCAGCTCTTGCTTTTCTGAATCAAGCCAGCCCACACTGTTGGGTCAAAAACGGGCTCCCAGACTCACACAGTTTCTTGTCCACTTTACAACTCACCTGCCTTCACAACACACACACACACAAGAACGCAAAAAAATATTCGAAGGTTAAGTAGTTTTATTTTTCTGGAGCATATTTTGTTTTGTGTAAAAAAAACAACAAGACAAAACAAAAAAAGGATGGGGGGGGGGAGAGGGTAGTGGTGAGAGTAGGTAGTCATATAGACTCAAAGAATCTGCGGGGAAGGAAAGACTGGACGCAAGCGCGACGGAAGCCTGATAATCGACGGACCGACCCACCAAACACACACGCATTGGTTTTTTTTTGATGGAGATTGGGGGAGGGTATGAAGGGACAACATAAAGAAAACAGACCGAAGAGAGAAGAGAAGAAAAAGAAAAGGGACCACAGCCAAACCCTTTTGTGTTAAAATCGAGTATCTAGAAAAAACACAAAAACAAGAAAAAAAAGAAAAGCACGATTGACTCAATAAATGTATATGACCAGTATGTAGAGAGGATCAGACCCGTAAGCCTTGACAGGCAACCTTGGCAAGCAGCTTACTGGCCAACTCCAACGAGATCACTTGAAATAGTACGCTTTGTTGAGATCAGTTTAGTTGTGATATAAGTTGTTGAAGAGATGTACATATAAACGAAACGAAACAAAAGAGAATGGAATGACATACCTTTGAGCGGGTTAATGTCGACGGTCTTCAAGACCACCTTTCCGGATTTCTCGGCTGGTTTTTGGCCCTCCTGAGGGGGCTCGATGTTGACCAAGAGGCCATCTCGATCGACGACGATCGGGTCCTGGTCGCGCACCTTGCAGATATCCTCAAAGAAGTTCTACATTCATCCATCCACACAACCAGGATGATCGGTCAATTAGAAATGAATGATCGACGCGTCACGAAGGGAGGAGAAAGCCCAAAAGAGGAAATGAAATACACGGCACGGAATGTCCGAGTCTTTCCTGAACACGGAACAGGTGAACAGCGCCGCGTCGCTCTCGCCCCCGGCGACATCCATCGGACTCTCGATCACAAAGCGGGCGTACCGCAAGGGCGCCTTGGGCACCGTCGAGACATGCCCGATCGGGATGAAGTTCTGGAACGTCAGCGACGAGCGGACGGTGACTGAAAGAGACGAATGGATCGCTTCCAACTGTCACATCAAATCAATTGTTAGTGCTTGTAAGAACCTCTGTGGAAAATCATTTTTTTGTTTTTTTGGTTTGGGTTTGGCTTCGATTTATATATTCAATTTTTTTTTTTTTGGGGGGGGTTTGTGGGTGGGTTGCAGGTGAGAAAGTCTTACTCCAATGTATTGGCTTTTGTCTTCAAACGATTTGACCATCTTAGCGAAGATGAATTCGATCGAAGTGAGCACCAAGTGACGGGTTTGACGACTAGTGAGGGAGACAAAAGACGCGAAGAGGAACCACAAAAAGAGTATGAGCCATCCAATCCGACCGGCTTCTGGGCTGCTCATCATATATATATAAGGGAATTCTCAAAGGAGATGAGGACTGACCTGAGACCTAATAATGCGGCAATCGAGCTGGCCGGCAAGCCCTCGAGACATAGTTCGACAATCTCGACCGGCAGTTGTTCAAAAGTCGAATATTTGGCCATCTCTCGGACTATTCAAAGATTGATAGTTGTTGTTTTTTGTTTTGATGGGAGAGAGTAGCAGAACAGACTGATTGATTTGGGATTGATGGAAGGAGATGAGTCAGAGAGACACGACGATTTTCGAGATGGAGAAGGACGAGGACGGACCTTTAGCGATTTGATGAGGGTTTTTGGGTGGGCTTCTTTGAGAGGGAGGTTCAGAGGGAGTCTGGTCTGATTGGGAGGGACGGAAATAGCCTGAGAAGAAGAAGGCGCGGATTAAATAAAAAGAGGCCCACTGCCCAGTCAGCAGCAGCAAGCCCCTCGAGCGCCCCTTTTGGAAGTCCAGATCTAAGCCCACTTGGCGCACGACATAACATCCATCTGGTTCCGGCGCAGCACCATCACCAAAAAGCTGCTTAAGCATATATTTATAACCGAGCCATCCATCCATCCATATCCGACGATGTGGCCCTTCGTCGACAGTCGTCGCAAGGAGAAGAAAATAATGGATCGGGAATGGGTGTTTATTGTGAAAAGACGCTGTCTCGATCCGGGATAGTACATAGATGATGCAAGGAACCACATTAGCTCTGCAAGCATCCGAAACACTGATGTCCCGTTGATTAGCACCCTACAAATCAATTGCCCTATGTCGTACATCTCTCGGCGCAATCATCGGAGGAGCTCACCGTCGCCTCCGGTGTGTCTCAGGGCCTCCTGGCCATCTTGAATCCCGGGAGGGGAGCACACTCAATTTTCTCAGTGCAAGACACTCCACATCAGTTCCTCATTTTCCTCCTCCTCAATCACTCAGTCCCGCTTGTTTTTTTGGGGGGCTGTCTCAGGAAAGGAACACTTTTATCATGGTTGTTGTTAATCCGCCCATGATCTGGATCGTAGGTTATTCACTCACTTTCTCTCTTGATCGGTTAAAATGTCCTATCCACCTATCTTTCTCTTTAGACTCAATCACCTCCATTCCCGGCATTATTATTCAAGCTCACATTGATCAGATGGATGGCCATCTGACTGATTTGAGGACACAAGAACCTCATTCGATTCTGAGAGCTGACTAAGCTAATCTTTAATAATCCACTGCATGTTCGATGTGCATCCTTCTTTTTTTGTCAGGTCGTTTTGATGGGATGGCTCGATTTGGTGGCCTCGTTGAGCTGGAACGAGATCCCGAAGGTAGATTACACGGCCGACTTTAGTCCCCAAAAGTCTACCGCCGGGCGAGCGAAGGTACGTTAGTGATCGACAAATCCGGCGCGTGAACAGCCTTTGACATGTCCGGATCCGGAAGGGAAGACTAAGCAGTCTTTTTTTTTTGTTTTGTCTTTTGGCGGCTTGATTGAAGACGGTCGACGCGTTTATGAAAGCACGAAGGCCGATGAGCCGGAAGGAGCAGCAGTCCGCAGAGGGAGGTCGAGCCGCGTGCCAGGTCTGTCTGGACGCGTACAAGCTCGCCGGGGATGGCCAGAAGAAGGCCGACCGGGTGGCGATCCTGCCGGCTTGCAAACACCATTTCCATAGCGCTTGCTTGAAAGAACGCTTCCTTCATCAACAGCAACTCCGCCGCACCTCCCGCCACAGACTCCCCGCTCTCAAATTCGTCGTCGTCAATTGTCCCCGTTGTCTTCATCCTTATCCTCTCGCTTCTTCCCCCTCTTCTTGGAGTGCTTCTTGGACTAAGTTTAGGAAGAAATGCGCAAGGTTTTTTAGGAAACTCTTTCGCTTGAACCCGTACCCTAAAGCTTATAAACCCCAGAAACCTAGACCGTTAGAAATCGATAAATTCTTGTAAACAAATTCCAGCGATTCTTGCTGGAGTTTTTTGTTACATACCTAGCTCTTCATTCTTCAAATCAACTTCAGTTTTGGAAAAATCTTTCATCTGCCTACATGCTTAGATGTGGTTCGTACATTGAAGACTCGTTCTGACCATTCCTTATGAAAATCGGGAATTATGTATCAGAACGCGTACAAAGTTGTCACTCCATCACCATGGCTAGAACTCTTCAAATCCCAAATCGGAAAAGAGACAGCTAGAACAAGATCTCTGGTTATCATACTTGAATGCCTGGATCATAAACAACAAATGAAACTCGAAATATCGCGCTTGATCTACAAGACAACAGATGTAGAGTGAGATGGGAAGTGATTGTGAGCAAAGCTCATCAAGTCCGTGACTGAAGGCCTTCCCATCCCCGGTTTTGATTTCAGAGCCTGGAAATAATCAAGCTAGATTTGCCTGCAAAGATATAGACTTTGTGAGGGTCTAAAGAAAATCAAGGACTGGAAGGGCCCCAGATCTATATACATAGAACTTCAAAGGTCTGTGAGATCTTGCTGCTGCTGATAATAAGTTGCTAGACATGTGGAGGTGCAAAAAGGTGGATGGTGACCTTGCGGACTGAAATCTGGGATTGTCGGCACTGTTACATACTATGTAAATAGCTGACCAGAGCCACTCAAACGGACGGGCCCAGAGGACCTCATGTGGAGCACTCTCTGTAGGACAGCCTTATGCAATTATTGCTGATATTTTGCAGGAGCAGGAACAATTTTTTTTTAGGAAATTAGAATAAACACAAAGGAAAGAAAAAAAAACACTCAAGAGCCAGATTTCTCGGGCTTCTGGAATCTGGTGGACAATTTGATCTCTTGAAGTCCCTGTGAAGATAGGATTTGAGTGCTTGAGGTCCAAATGGTATATGTACATTGACTTTTCCGTGTTTGATCAATGAAGGTTGAAGTCTTAGACACTCCATATCTGGCGTGGAATTGTATGGCCAGGGATTGGCCGCACATCCTGAGGATTTCCCAGCTTCCCAGGGCTTGATAGAATCTGAAGGATCCGTGCAGGCTCCTTGATAATCATGAAAAGCTTTCAGACAGAGTGTTGAATCCTCAAGCCATCATCAGCATGGAGGATCATTGGCTGCTCCACTTTGACAAAAATTGATGAGGAAAATCTGAGGATGCCAAAAATGTAGAGGTGTTTTAGATAGAAGGCTGTGGTTCAGGACTTGAGAGGGCAAGGGAGCCAAAGCTATGAAACAGTTAAGAAAGCTCCCAACCAAAGGGTACTTTCTGCTCCCACAAACAATGAAACCAGCACAACACATGTATTGGATTGGTTTTGCTTCTAATGCATTGTATTGACAGACCAATAGAATGAACATGTGATGAAGCTTTGGTATCTGGTCACCAATACAGCCCAATACTTATAGGGGGTTGGAAAAACGACTCCCAAAAATTTGACAACAACTCCCATTTTGGTCAAGGGGTCGTTGGACGAGAGTCGTCTTTCCAATTCCCCCTGGGGGATTGGGAGTCGACCTCCCAATCCAATCCAATCCAATTTTTTTTTATTTTATTTTTTTAATTTTTTTGGGTGGGAGTTGGCGCCCAAAACCTCCTTGGCAAGTGGGAGGTTTGGGAGTTGCTTACCTCCCACTGGCCAGGGGGGTTTCCCTCCGGTCATCGAGACCGTACAGTCTCGATGACCGGAAGGAATCCCTTCCGGCCATCGAGATTGTATGGTCCCGATGACCGGAAGGAATCCCTTCCGGTCATCAAGACCATTCGATGACCGGAAGGAATCCCTTCCGGCCATCAAGATTGTATGGTCCCGATGACCGGAAGGAATCCCTTCCGGTCATCAAGACCATTCGATGACCGGAAGGACCCCTTCCGGTCATCGACGCCATTGCAATTTCGATGACCGGAAGGAATCCCTTCCGGCCATTGAGATTGTATGGTCCCGATGACCGGAAGGAATCCCTTCCAGTCATTGAGACAATTTGAATTTTGATGACCGGAAGGAATCTCTTCCGGTCATCAAGTCATCAAGACCATTGATGACCAGAAGGAATCCCTTCCGGTCATCGAGACAACGGTCCCACAGATACGAGACATGTATTTGTATCGGATCGTATCGTATTTATTTTGAGCCTGATACCGGTATCAGTATTTCCTTGGTTGGTGAAAAAATACATTGTATCGGATTTGGATTTAAAAATGAAAAAAAAAAATCGTCTTTGTTTTTTTCCGTTTTTTCTTCAATACAGCCAAGTATCTTATGTATCAAATACGGTTTTGGTGGGATCAGTCATCTGAGACGATACAGAATACATTTCTCACTTTTCAAATACGATACATGTATATGTCTCAGGAAAGTGAGACAACACAAATCCGGTATTTTTGGGTATTCCAATTCTGAGACAATACAGATAAACGCCTGATACCGTATCGTATCGTCTCTGTGGCACCGTTGATCAAGACCATTGATGACCGGAAGGGATTCCTTCTGGTCATCGGGACCATACAATCTGGATGGCCGGAAGGGATCCCTTCCGGTCATCAAGACTGTACAGTCTCGATGACCGGAGGGAATCCCCCGGCCAGTGGGAGGGAAGCGACTCCCAAACGTCCCACTTGCCAAGGAGGTTTTGGGCGCCAACTCCCACCCAAAAAAATATAAAAAATATAAAAAAAAAATTGGATTGGGAGGTCGACTCCCAATCCCCCAGGGGGAATTGGAAAGACGACTCCCGTCCGACGACCCCACAACCAAAATGGGAGTCGTCGTCAAATTTTTGGGAGTCGTTTTTCCAACCCCCTATAAATAATCATGGTTTTATACTACTTGTACAGTGCCTAGACAGTGAAAAATGGTGTCCCATTTATTTTTTTTTGGAGGGCAAGGAGCCACTTTTCAACTCCAATTATTTTGTCACAGGGGCACAGTGGGTCAGGGAAAAAGAATATAGAAACAAATTAATTACATAGGCAATCAAAAAAAAGATAAAAATTGTTGAAAAAAAACAAATATTGTAGTTTTTTCAATATTGATGTAAAAAATACACAATTTGGAGGGGGGATGCGCTGAGAGTGGAGAAGAAAGAATATAAAAAAAAAGTTAAAAAAGTTTTTTTTATTATTGTTTTTTTAATTTTTTTGTTGAGGGGTCTTGGTCGGGGACGATGTAGCCTTTGCTGGGCGGGCTGGGAGTGGCTGGAGGAGGAGGAGGAGCCGCCGGCAATGGGGCCGTCGTTGGTCTGGAGCAAGTCGGCTGGGAGTGGCTGGAGGAGGAGGAGGAGCCGCCGGCAACGGGGCCGTGGAGGAGGAGCCGCCGGCAACCGGGCCGTCGCCGGTCTGAACGTCGCCGGTCTGAAGCAAGTCGGTTGGCCGCAGACTGCCCCGTGACCTGTTGCATGGTGGAGGAGGTAATGGGGAACGGGGCCGTCGCCGGTCTGAAGCAAGTCGGTCGGCCGCAGGATCTTCGACCAAGCAAATAGAACTTAGATCTTCAAATGGAACATGATACATCTTCTCCACGTGATGATTATTAAACTGCTGGTTCCTTGCTGGAGTCAGTCACGAATCGAGTGACTACCAAATCCACAATATCTTTCCATTCGGTCATAGCACCAAGACCTGACCAATCAATGACGACAAAAATAATCAACGAACAAATATGAAGATTGGTCAGGAAGATTCAAGATGGGAGAGATGTCAACCCAGATGAATTTCACCTATATCTCCACCAGGGTCGAGTTGTAACCTGCAACAGCATCCTGGATCATCGAGGCAATGTGGGATTGATAGATCTCGGCGGTGGAGGTGGAAGGCAGATGGACACTGTCCTGCTGATCTTGAGTCTGGGTCTTCTCCGTGTCGATCATAGGCGGCTTGTTTGTCAGGATCTGAGGTGGTGGGCTGGATGACTGGCAACGAGATTGTCGATGGGGCCACTGAGACGACAATGGTGGTGATGCCAAAAAATACTCGGCCGCTTGTCCGCTCTTCTTTTTGCCTAGCTTGCGGAGCGATGTCGAGAGTTGGGGAGGTGGCGGAAAGTAGATAGGAAAGAAAAAAAAGACTTACTTTGGTTGAGTTTCCTGTCTGTAGGTGTTGTTTGTGATCCAATAGGGAGGGAGTGATAGTGACTGGCTGGATAGGGGGCTGCAGGGTGCACTTGCATAAAATATGCAAAATCACCCTTTTCACCCTGCGCCATTTTTCACTGTCTAGGCACTGTACACCCTCGACATCTACTTTCACTGTTAATCTTCTATTCTAGTGTATTTTTTCTACAATCTGGAGGCTACAAACAGCTCAAAAGGCTGAAAATTTCAAAAAAAAATCTGAATTTTTGGCTTGACCATTTGGACATCCTCAAAATCCAGGGTCGGTTTTTGCCGTCCGCAACTGCACTTATCAAAAAAAACTACTGCTTATACACGCATGCCACCAAACATTTTTGCTGGCTGCAGGCCCAATGTTCATGGGCACTAGGGGACATGTGTTAAGTTTGAAGGTGGATTTGAGCTTGTCTTGGTTTGTCAGACACTGAGACAATAGTCCATATGTCTGCAAGTATATTGATTATGTATAAGTTACTTAGTGTAATAGTTAAGTAGTGTCTTAGACAGAAATTCACCATTCACATATGAGTTGATTTCCCCCTTTTACCTTGTTATGTTTTTACATGTTTATTTTCTCAGTAATTCCAAGGAATAAATTTGTGTTTTTCTATGTATTAATCATCATTGATCTTCCATAAGAGCGAGACAATGTGGTGGTGAGAGCACGCCGCACCCAAAGCTTTGGCCAAATTGCTTGGGCGTATGCGCAATGCTTGCAGCTGATGCGGAAAGCATGCGGAGCTGACGCTACATACACACACAGGCTGAGTAAAGCGGCGGCACATTAGTGGAAAAGTCTAGGTTTCCAAGGTGCAAAAAGCAGGGGAAAAGCCGGCCAAATGCACAAGGTTCCAAAGAGCTTGCTGCGGGGAATTTGGGCACTGGCGGACTTTGGGGTTCATGGCTGACTGCGGACTGGGGTTAGTGTATACTGCAGAGGGGCTACAAAGGAGCGGGGGAGCACCAAGAGGCAGAAGCGGGGTTCAGAGCGGACCAGAGGTGGAAGCGGTGGTGGGAGACCTATCCAAAGGGAGGCCGGAGGAGTACGTTGACTGGCAGGCGTTGGAGGGGTGACGAGCGGAGTGCGAGGGAGTGACAGCGGAGGACAGCGTGGGAAGCAGGAGGTAAGTCGTGTGTGGGATAGCTGGCAAGAGTTGGAGCTCGGAGTAGAAGGGGGAAAAGACTTATGACTCACAACATATCAGAATAACAGAGTGACTTAGGAGTGAATCATGTGTTAGCCTAAAGAATTGTTAGAGATTGCCAGCCTTAGAGATACTCCAGAGTATCCAAAAGTCTGCTAATAATAAATACATCTAATATTACTCACTAAAAAATAAATTAAACACTGAAGATTACTGAATAATCTTTATTTCCATATAATTTTAGATGGGGTCTCTCACTGGAGCTACCCCTAAAATCCTACTCCTTCTAGGACTTTGTTAATACTCCAAGACCATGAAGTCAAGTAGGAACAAAGTACTGTAAATTAATTAAAATAATAAAGTAAACCTAATGTATATTAAATTAGGGTTAAATATACATTCAAGACTGTATTATACAAGAAATAAATATGTAGAATAGAAATTACCACACTAGTGTAGTGTGTGACAATTTCTATTAGTATTATTCTACTTTAGTTGACACATGATGCAATTGGCTATAAATATGCAACATGATGTCATGGGACATAGAATATAATTTTACTAGAAATATTACAAAAATTCCCATTACATTTTGGGATTATTTCTACTGTTGTACAGTGGGTGGACTGTTATTTTTGGCTGCTTGTTTTGGATTCTAGAGCTTCAAAGCACAAACTTGAAGTCACAAGAATTGGTGGAGTGGTGTAGAATAGGTCCCAAAGAATTGATATGAAAAAATAAAAATAAAAAACAAAGTTTCAAAATTTGTAAAAAATAAAAAATTAAATTGGTTTTTTCCCAAAGCTTTGTTATTCATTTTGGGGGAGCGGGAGTGCTGAGAGAAAGAAAGAGTAGAAAATGGCAAGAATGATTATAAATGAAAAAAATTGGAACCAAAAAAGGGTGAGCCAGGTTGGCTATCCAGATTGGATTCAAAACAGTAAATTCTAGTGCTTTATCACAATGTGAGCTGGTGAATGCCCTACTCAACAGCTGTTTAAAACCATCTGGTAACCATTTTTTTAAAATTTTCATTTATAATTATTCTTCCTATTTTCCATTCTTCCTTTCTCTCAGCACTCCCACTCCCCTAAAATTAATAACAAAGCTTTTGGAAAAAAAAAATATTTTTCATTTTTCACAAATTTTGAAACTTTCTTTTTTGTTTTTATTTTTTCATATTCATTCTTTGGTGTTGAGTTGTCATGTTCCATTTCACTCTCTTTTCTTTTGTATGCTACACACCTGTCACATCTATGTTACAGTTCATGTTGTACACCTGGGTCAGCAGTGAGCTCGTGGAAGGATCTCTTTCCTCATCCTTTCCACCATCTCACTACTGGTCCCAGGTAAGTCATTTCTTCATCTTCTGTTTCTTTTCTTTCTGTTTTTCTCTTTCTTTCTCTTTCATGATCAATCATCACTGAAGTAATGAATCATCCTTTCCACCATCTCACTACTGGTCCCAGTTGATCTCATCAGGTTATGAGCACCATTGCGCTATAACTACGCACTCGACGAATCAACTACAGGACACTGAGAGCTTATAAGGATCCGTACGCTTGTCGTTAAAGCGCCCACAATACATGACTTCACCCCCATCACCTTGCATCAAATCAGAATATAGTTTATCTACCACACCCCCAACCGCACCTCCCGTTCTGTCAACTAATCCGACAGCCGCTGTCGCCACCTCGATCGACTCGCCAACACATTCGATGTCTACCTCAACCGATCCCGATGTAGCGGGCCATCCAGCCCTCAAACTAACCGGAGTTGAGCAACTGAAACCTCCTGGCGCAGACTCCAATTACCTAGATTGGAGCTGGATTCTTGAAATCCATTTTGCTGCGACCGACGTGGACTACATCATCACCGACAAAGTGGAGGACGCGAAACTCAAGAAGAACTGGACGCGAGATAACAAGGCTGTCTGCGGCGTCATTTCTCGTACGATTCATCCATCGAACATCAGGAACGTCCGTCACCTGAAGAACGATGCAAAGGGATTATGGGACTCTCTCAAGCGAGCTCATCAAGACTCCTCCGCTGGAGGAGTCATGTATTGGCTTCGTAAGCTAACCATGTCCAGGATGACGGACGATGATCTACCTACACATCTAGACGAAATGGCTCGGACCTTTGAGCGATTGAGCGCACTCATTACGGATGAGTCTCCTCTCACTCCGAACGACATATACTCAACCTCGATCCTCACCTCGCTACCCCAAGACTGGCTTTCGTGCGTTTCGTCCATGATGAACGAACAGCGAGTCAGTCCTACCAAACTCATCGATGCTCTGAAAGCCGAACACCTTCGTCGGAAAACGCGCGCGGACGATGCCACCGCTCCTGAATCTGCTGCCTCGGCTAAACCAAACCCCTCATCCAAAGGCAAAGCTAGGCCTCCTGGTCAACCGGTCCGTCATTGCACATTTTGCAACATGGATGGCCCATGACCTATACCGATGCGGCCATGTCGCGGAGATTAATCAAACTCACACAAGTCAAACACCTCGGCCGGAAAACAGCAACAACTCATCTGGCCGTTCCAACAACAGAAATCGCCCCAAACCTGACACGGTCGCAAAAGCTGGGCGCACCTCTGCAGCTATTCTCGGCGGAGCGGGCGACGACAACGATGACGACTCCGATTACTCAGGGTCTGAAGTTGAAGTCACGGCAGGCCAAGCGGCCGTCTCCTTATCCTCAACCACGGACATGCAACCCTCTGGTGACGCTAATCTGGACTCAGGCTGCTCTGTCTCTATGACACCGGACCTGTCATCAGTAATGTCTCTCAAGCGCGACAGAACTCCTGTTCGCCTGGCCGACCACTCTCTTGTAGAGGCCACTCACAAAGGGCTTTCAAGACTTCCCATCAACCTCGACAAGGAAATTACTACCCTTGTTGTCCCAGCACTTGCGGAACCACTCCTCTCAATAGCCGGCTTATGTGATGCAGGCCTCACTGTGGTATTCAACCCCAAATCCTGCGATATCTATTCGACTCCCGACTTCCATCCGTCTGGCGAAGTAGTTGGCAGAGGATACAGACGGGGAAACCTGTACTACCTCCCGGCTGAGCCTGTGAGCTCTCCTTCAATCTCATCCTCTCCTAACCCACCCGTCTGTGCAAGCCTGGCTGCTGTTGACAACAGTCTGCTTGGATATCATTGGCGTTTTTCCCACATAGGACTCAAACCACTGAAGAGACTACTCAAGCTACACGGAATCACACCGTCAGTATCGAACGAGATTGATGTTCAACAATGCACCATTTGCCTACAATCCAAACTTCACCGCAAACCCTTCAAGACAAGATCCGCCTATCGAGCCACCACACCCGGGGAGGTAATTCACTCAGATGTGGGATCATATGAAGTGCAGTCGCGTGAAGGGTACAAATATTTCATTTCCTTTATCGATGATTGCTCCAAGGCTGTTTTCCTTTATCCGATGAAATTCAAATCCGACTCTTTTTCATGTTTCAAAATCTTCCGTGCCTCTTTCGAGAATCTGAGCAACCACTCAATTAAGTCTCTGAGAACCGACAATGGAGGTGAGTACATGGCTAAAGACTTTGAGAACTACCTTGAGAAGGCAGGGATCCGACACGAGCCCGGACCACCTCATTCCCCTCAACTCAATGGAGTAGCTGAACGCACCAACCGCACAATCAGCAACCTCATTCGCTCGTCGCTTCTTAGTGCTCACCTTCCTAAATCATTCTGGGTTGATGCCCTTCGCCATGCCTTCCACGCGCATAATCACATTCCTTGTCACACTCCTCTAGGTTTCAAACCACCTAACTCAATTCTTGGACTACCCCCAATTGACCTCAACTCTCTACATCCTTTTGGTTGCCTCACTTACTACAAAATGCCTGAAGAAACCAACAAGAAACTGGATCAGCGAGGACGAGCCTCAATTCTCCTCTCCTACCT